TTATCAAATGAATTTTCATACATTTTTTGTAAATGTTTATGTGTAACACTTCGTACTCTATTGAATTAAATTAAAAATAAAATTTTAATATAATAGATATTTCAATAACATACGTTCGGTCGGGTAGCACAATTTTTTTACTTGCTGAAGCAGCTGGTGTAGATTTTGATTTTTCCATAGCCATTAAATAGGAAACATCTGCTAAGACGGCTTCAAGATCTGCCATGATTAATTTTTTTAATCAATTATTAATTTTTCTATTACTAAATTTGATTTTGTTTTTTAATATATTTTCTAATATGATAAATCAATAAATAAGAAATAAATTCTCGTTCAATATATTAATTTCATTCTCTTTGAAATATTGTTGATGCTACAAGTGGATTCTTGAGTTGTTAGATCTTCTAAGATCGGATTTATATTTTCTAATAACATCGATTAAAGTTGATAAATAACAAAATATTTCATAAAATAATCTAAAATGTAATTGAGAAACAAAAATATAATTTTTTTTTCATCAATGTTCTTTGTCCCGAATGATCATTGTTGTCTGTAGATCTCTCTGATTTTTTCGGCTGACTAATAATGCCATGACCCAATATAATTGACCTCAATAGAAGTTAAATATTTATTATTTGAGAAAAATAATAAAATAATATTTGTTTTAATAGGAAATTTTTAAATGATAAAATAGATTGTTGAACATAGTAACTAAAAATAATAACAGATTAATAGATTTTGAGTTATAGATGTCGTTCAACATGTTTTTTTTTTGCACTTTATTCATTTATCTTCAATGACAAAATGCATTATAAAGTTAAAGAATGATGAGTGTTTCTGTCACTAATAGAACTGAATGAGAAGTTTTTCTTAGTAAAAAGAATTTGCATTCATTGAAATGTCATCAAAAGCTATAATTTAAAATTCTATGAAATAAAATCTAATATGAAATTCTATTATAATTGATTCAGGAAGTAAAAAAGACATATTCTTATAGAAAAGAAAAAAAGAAAAAAATTTCAATCGTTTATATTGCTAAGTATGAATTGTGATGTTTTTCAATAAATAATCGAAAGAAAAAAGAATGTGTTCTCGGTTGATTGAATCTTGAGAAACATGAATAAATTATCGTTACTCTTCTAGATTAGATATATTTTTTTTTGTTGACAATGAAATACGATCTCAAGATGCTTTCCAAGTGTAGAAAATTTGGTCAATGAGCTGAATACAAAATAATATATATATTTGCGTTTGCTTGGTTTTTTCCTCTTTCAGAATTTGATAAAATATATATTAAGAGATAAAACATTGTAGAATAATATATTAATAGTTCCAGAAATAAAGAGTTTGAAGCCGTAGGAAAATATTTTTAATGAGAATTTCTCTTGGTATAGAAATGACAAAGTAATCTTCTTCTTCTTCTTCTTCTTCTTCTTCTTCTTCTTCTTCTTCTTCTTCTTCTTTTTCATGTTAAATTTGATTGATGAGTATTTTCAGGTGTTATTATACTTAACAAATATTTTTCAATGATCTCAGAAATAATCTTTTAAGTCTTGTGAAACTGATAGTTGAAGAAATCATCATTGATTTATCTATTTTCAGTTGAAATCTTGTATTTTATCGAAAAAGTCTGCAAACAAAAATTGTTACCATAGAAATATTTATTAAATATATTTTCAACTTGATAAGAAGAATATTTCAATTGTTTCTAAACTTTAAATCGAAATTTAGTCTAGTGAAAAAAGAAAAAAACTTTTATTAAGTAATGCTTTGCATGATTATTAACAAATGACTTAAAGATAATTAATTCAAACGTTTTTTTTTTCTGATAGAAATAGATTCTTTTTTGCATCAATCATTTTATAAACTTATGTATGATTTCTTTGGAAATCTATCTTAAAAATATTTGAAACAAAATGAAAAGTAATAATATTCTAATAACTACGGAGAATAAATATAACTGTAGATGTCAGTTGAAGAATTTTCTTAGATTTTGACGTTTTTTTTTGTCAGTTTAAAAAAATAATAGTGTGAATTAGATTAAGAAAAAATGGCAATTCTACTTCTCATATGATGTTATACGTTCAAAGATTGTATCTGAATTACAAAAATCATATGGTTTTTTTTCTCTTGAATTTGAAAGGCTTAAATAAGGTAAATCAAAACAAAACGAGTTATTATAAATAGTGAAATGATTAATAATGCTCAAGGATTTTCAGGGATTCTTTTCTATAAAAACAAAGTTTTTAAGAGCTCTTCAATGTATTAACCTGATGAAACAAAAAGTCAAGTATAATATCTTGTTAATGGAAAATCATGGGTCAATCATTTTTCTACTATTTTCTATCGAAAACTTATAGTGACCATTGAATTTATTCTACCAGAATCTATTATCAGATACGATAGAATAACTGATCTCTACAGTATTTTCTTATCATTACGAAGTGAACTTTCTTTTCGATAAAATATATCTTTATATTATCTACAATACCAAAGAAAACCACTTGTTGAAAATGAATGTAAAACATAAAAAATTGATTGGACAAATATTGTGATTATATATTGCTAACAAATTTTATGTATTAATTTGAGTTTTTCGCGTCCTGGTGCTTGAAATATGGTAAAGCATTATTGATCATTTTGTAGAGGTTGAAAAGTTCTATTTCATAGTCAAAGATAAGAATTTAGTTAGCAATTATCTTTCGTGCACAATGTATATTCTTTGTTTTTCAAGATTGAAGAGTACAACACGTTTTTGTGTTGGTGAAAAGACGATTTATTCGAAGCAATAATCATTCTCTTAGTATATACATATTAGTTTATACTTTATTGATTCGATTTATGAGAGTTTAGCTGAATTATAGCTAAAAAGTTTTTTTTTATTTTAATCAGATTAAAGTTACAAAAGAGAATTTAATTAATGTGATCTTTTTATTCAGGAAATAAACTTCATTTCAATAGTTGTTAAAGTAGCAACTACATGTTTATTAGCTAAAATAAAGAGAAAATAATTTTACAAATTCATGATTAAAACTTGTTAGTAATAGATAGTCACAGTAAATGTCGAATGAATATTTTCCTTCTATCTTTTTTAGGAAACATTTTGTTTATGATGTTCCAAAGAATATATCGTGATGTTTCTTTTAGAAGAAAAAAAACAAGTTCAGTTCGAAATGAAAATAGATAAAAGACATATTGAGAAAGTATTGCAAGGATCATTTTATTTATCATATTAATTATATTTATTAAATAAAATAGAACATATTTAAGTTAAGTAAAAATAAAAAAAGAAGAAGATATTGTCTATAGAATTTCATATGATCTATTGATTAGAATATTCTGAATATATTCGCCAAAATAGATATTATATTATTCAACTATTTAAAGTTTAAAAACATAAATATTAAAATTTCTTTACTAGTAGTTCATAGAATGTATTATTATATATGAGTGGTTCTTGAAAAAAGTTGATTGACAAGATCACTTTATTTCATTGACTTTTGTCTTTAGATTTTGTTAGCAAAATTCTATTATTAAACAAGACGAACGATTATTTTCTCAATCATTGCTTTTATTGCCGATAGAAACTAAAATATGTGTATAGTTGACCTAATCAATGTTCTATTGGATATATTTTTTGTTTAATTTTGTGACTCGTTGGTTCAATTTATTTTTGAATGAATGTCTATAATCAATAAAGAAAAATGCATACACTCATGTCAAGAGTCTTAGCAATTTATTAAATGCTCTTAACACAGATAAGATCAACGTTCCTTAACAAATTCAATTGAACTTGTAATCAGTTTCCTATCATTCGACAAGAAATGTGAATCTATAAATATAAATGTGCAATTTATAATGACTATCAATATGACTGTATTGATAAAATTCATATTTGAAAAATTTTTGAATGAAAGACGAGGGAGTAAGTCAGTTTTTCAAGACAAAAATGTTAATATTAATCATAATAGTTATATAAACTTGATTTGTCTTGTCAATAAACAAAATGTTTACAAGAAAGAAATAATTTACCTTTACTTCACAGTATTTTTGTGTAAATAACAAGGATTAATTCCTTTTCCATGTATTTTCATTGAACTAATATGGAAGTAAGATTTTGAAGAGTTGCTTCATTTGCTGTTATTGATAATAAATGTATGGATAATATTTTAACAATGCAATAATCTTAATTCATTGTTGCTAAGTAGGCATTTTTATTATCGATTATTTTGTGTGACAATTTAACTAGTTATCGTATTCGTCAATAGTGTATCCATGAAATTTTATGACTTTCTCTAACCATTTATCAAGGATCAATATACATAAATGTATATACATCATTGACTGTTGCAACATTCAACTATTACGATTGAATATAATTATATTGGAAATTTTTTGTTTTCTTTTGAAAATATTCAACAAAAAATTAATGAATTTCAATAAAAATATTCAGAAACAAAAACATTTTATAAAGTTCATTGATTCGACATGTTTGTGTTAAACATAATATAAATAACATAGAAAATTATTTTTTTAATGTTAAAAAAAGAACCGTTCTAGAAAAAGTGACAAACATTATATTGACTTCAGAATAGAAAATATTCATCATTTTAAAATTAAAATTTAACATTTAAACATGCAATATAATAAGGAATGATGTTGATTATATTAAAAAATAATTATTCATTTTGTTCAATGAAAACGAAAAAAAATGTTTCTCACATTTTCATAAATCTATAAAACTTTTCTTTTTCGATGAATATATTTTTCAAGCTTATCAAATTTATTTAATGAAATAAATTTTGTTTGTTTCATAATAATTATTAATGAATTTTGTATTCTTCCGAACTCTATGTTTTAACACTTTTACTATTATACGTACGTATATATTAACACGAATGATAGAAACAATCTAATC